TTTTTGACCTGATGATTATGAATCACTAGGATCAGAGATGCAAAACAAGCACATTTCTTCTGTCTGGTTCACCACTGGGAATGCAGTGCACCTGATACCACTGAGCTTTTCTAAATGTCACTGAAATGAGGCTCTCCATGCCAAATGGACAACAAACCTTTCTGAGGAGCACATGAGTGACAATAAGATTCAAGGATGCTGTAGCTGGGCTGAAGGAATTAGGAAACACGTTGACATGCATCACATTGTTGCAGCATTTATCTCCAAGCTCTGCTTTCTTCCTTATCCCAGCAGTAGACTGTGAAAATTACTTCCTGGTAGAAACTCGTTTCTCTATAGTAAACTATCTCCTGGTCACTCTGTAGAAGTAGGCCTGCAGCTACTTTAAGATAAATACAGCAATCACCTCTTGACATAGCAACCAGGTAGTACTTTGGTCTCCAATGAACTACACTGATGATTTAAGCAGACATTTTCTGATAAATACTAGAAAAGAGGGGTCTGTTTCTAAGCTGAGTACAAAACTCTTTTACGAAGAGTATTCAGACAAAGAAATGTATCAATTTCTTGGATTTTCCCCCACTACCGTTTCTGAAGAACTACGAACACTGATATTTGGATACTGTCTGACAAATATTATAAATATCCATGACAACTTTGTTTCAAAGTGACCCTCACGTCTTGTATAACCATTGCTGGCAAGAACCTCAACAGTCAAAAACACAGATGATCTAATTGTATAAGCGTCTCATTACCAGCAAGCCCTGAACTACAATCCTCTATTCAGTTTTTCCCCTTTGCAACTATTTTCCAAGTGTGTAGAGGGAAACAAACCAAACAAGCTTACCGCACCAGCCTTGCCACAGAACATCTTAGAGCAGTGATGGCGAACCTTTTTGCGTCCGAGTGCCCAAACGGCAACACAAAACCAAATTATTTCTTTTGAAGTGCCAACACTACAATTAAATCTGAATACTGAGGTTTTAGTTTAGAAAAAAACAACTCATACAGTTGTCTAAACTAATCAAAACCTTTTGTCTTCAAAGAAAAACATAACAGAACTTTCAATGATACAAACACTTTTTTTATTGAAAAATAACGATTAACTCTGGTAAATAGAAAAAATATTAAAGTAATACATTGTACACATAGCCTAAAGCCAGGTAATATATACAAACTTTAAAAATAATTGTGTGCATGTATTTTTGATAAGGGATACTCAACTTGTAATATGATTATATACCATTCTGAAATTGTATGGGGCAAGCCTTACTCCGGGTCCTTTCCCAGCTTCTACAGGTGTTGGATTAGTAAAAGTCAACCTGTATTAGGATGAGCAAGATAAACAAGAAAACTAAACTTGCTTAACACACTTTAAACAACTCCTAAACTAGTGTCTTGGACTGCAAACACTGCATTAGGTAAAATTTTGAATTTGGCATGCTTTTGCACAATTAATGTGATTTTTGATGTTGTATTCATGCTGATAATTTATCAAACCTTGGCTCATATGCCGTTAGTTTGAGAGTAACACATGCAGCACTCAGGTCATTTGTCAGTCTGTTTCTGTATCAGATTTGATATACAGTAATTCAAAGCTGAAAACAGCTGCTCACAAGCATAAGATGACCCAAACAAAGTAAGAAAAGCAATCCCAAGTGCTTTCATTGATTTAAAATTATTTGGCAGAGAAATCCACACTTTAAGGATTTCATTTTCAGAACTACCAACTGTTTTGTCCTTTGTCATCCCTTCACACTCTATCTTCTCCAGTGTTGCATGCAGGTCATAGAATTTATTTCTCCAGATAGAGTTTTCTTTAAATTACATAGCTCCATTTCCAGATTTCCAAAATCTAACCACTGTAAGCAGGAAAGATCAAGTTCTTCAAATGTGGCTTTATCTGGAGAAGTAAGAAAACACAGAGTTGTCTCCATCTTACGGAACTGTAAAAATCTGTTCCTAAAATTCTCCTTTGCAGCTGTTACAATGCTAGAAAATTCCTCGCAGATTTCCTGATGGCTTGTAGGATTGTCCGTAAATGTTGTAGAATTTTCCAAATGTATTTTTAGATTTGCAAAATATTTCAGCTGCCCACTTTCAACGTCTCTCTCAAAAACCTGCAGTTTTCTTTCAAATGTTCTGATGTCACAAAACATCCTTTCTGTTGTTTTCCCTAAACCTTGCAGATTTCTGTTCAGTACCTTGAAGTGTGCTGTAAAATCTGTAAAAAACATGAGGTTGGTAAGCCAGGCCATATCAGTGAGCTGTGGATATTTTTGCTGCTTTTCAGTCATAAACAGCCTAATTTCATCCAAGCAGGCTACAAATCTGCCCAGGACTCTTCCTCTGCTCAGACACCAGACATTATTGTATATAAGTAAAGTATTATACTGTGCCTGAACCTCATCAAGAAGTGATTGCAACTATTGAAAATTAAGAGCACGAGCCATGGTGTAATTCACCATTTTTGTGACATCTCTGATGATATTGTCTAATTTTCTGCTGCTTTCCCTGGCACAGAGAGCTTCTTGATGTATAATACAACAAAACTGAATGACCAGATGTTTCGCTTCTTTAACAAAGAACTGTATGAAACCAGATGTTACCCCCACCATGCAAGGTGCCCCATCACCAATATCTGAAACCACTTTTTCTGCTCTTATGTCTTGTGACAAAAATGTCTCCATCACAGCATTGTAGATAGCTCTCCCTTGTGTTCTTCCAGGCAAAGATAACAGTTTCACCAGCTCTTCTCTCCTGGTGTCATTTACACATTTTGTCTGTCTGGTTCTTTATTGATTGGAGGAACTGACAGCTCTTTTAGAAAAAAAGTCAAGTGCAAAATGCTACACGGAATTAAATGCATCCTATTTATAAAGCTTATTAAGTACATTGAAATCCTGGACTTGTTTCCTCCAAAGTATACCACCCTCAGAGAAGCAGCTATACTTAAGAGTGTAGACTTGTAATACACATTTTATACACTACACATAAAGTATATACACACATTTCACTTACAGTGGTGCCTCGCTTAGCGAGCGCACCGTATAACGACGAATCCATATAGCGATCCCCTTTTTCGGGATCGCTATACGGAGCACCCAATCGCCGCACTCGCATTGCGACGATTGGGGAGTCCGGCGGCCATTTTGGAACCGCGTTCGGCGGCTCCAAAATGGGT